CTTTTGTCATTCCTGCCCATAGACATTCTAGCCACTGGAACCTTCTTTCACAGGTGGTAGGTTTATGTACTCTCTTGCTTTCTTCCAATAGGCATCACATTGTGGTAAAAGAAACATTATGAATTGCTGATATTTGATCAATGTTCAGCCATGTTCTTACTAACAAAAGGTAATTTCATATGATTCATCTTAAGACATGCCCTGCTGCCATGTACAAATGCTTTCAAGATCAAAGCTAATATTATTTCTCTCTTACTCTTCCCACATGTGCGTGCACACACACACGAACACACATATCATATAATTGTTTCTCCAGGACATGTGGTTAGTAAGGAGAAAACGAGGGCCAAAATTTGTATTTTCCAAATACAGGGCTTGTGTTGGATATTCTCCATTTACCCTTCTACTCTAGACACTTCCCCAGGAAACTGTCCACTGCAGACTAATCAACAGGGCTCCCTTGTCCCCTGGCTTCTGCAGGAGATCAGAGTTCAGGAGGAGAGAGCTTTGGGATATTTATCCCCAACCTGCTTTCCTGCCAGACCCTGGCTTGGAAGTACTTGTGTCCTTCTACCTGTGACCAAAGCGCATGCTCAGTGTCCTCTCCCACACTTAATGCTCTTTGTTTGATTCTATAATCCGTGCCCTCCTGAGCTAGGGCAGGTAAGCCCCAGGAGCTTCACTACCTATTGTTTTCTCTTAACCCTCCTCTCATTTGTTTAACAGTCCTTTCTGTAATAGTTTCTCTATTAATAGTCTCTTCACTTACCCCTTTGACTCTGCCATCCATTCATTTTCTCCCAGGGCACAGATCCAGAGTTACTTCCTGGCTATGAAGTTAGTTTTGCGTATATTAATTTATATTTGTTATGTATATAAGTTTTGAGGGTATATTTGCATAGCTTATACCTGCAGGCTAGGCTAAAGACTAAGACTTGTAAATATCTTTGGGTAGGAAGAACAATTAATATACCCACAAATGGTATTTATGTATACTTCTAATCCCAAAACTAATTGTCAATTATTAATTAAGACCTTTTATCTTCATTGAAAGTTTTAAAATAAGAAAATACTGGCTAAGTTTAGCTTCCTAATATGAAATGCAAGACAATACTCAAACATTTATGAAATATAATTACATTTTCCAACTATTACTTTTCTATTAATTATTAGCTCTGGGCAAAACATTAAATCAAATACAGTATAAATTTGGCTGCTAATCTTTGCTAGTTTTACAGTGTTTAGTCTTTGCCTATGATATATATAATTATATGCCATAAGCAAGGGAAAAATTAAAATATTTTTAATACATTGGGATACCATTTTGTTCTCCAAGTACACATTGGCTTAGTCCTCCTACCTTCCAAACTAGCTCATTGCTAGAACAAACATTTACTGAGCACTTGTTATGCATCAGCATTGTGTTTAGTGATGTGGGACAATCAGGAGATTTATGGGGAATCATATTCTGGATTCTAGAAGACTCCTTGACATTGTCACATGCCCATGAAGCATTGGTTGGTAAGAATCAAAATGAAAACCCAGGTCTTATGGTTCTGGTTTAATCTTTCTTTTCTTAAAACTGCACCACACTCATTGGGCATTCAGTACTTGGCTATATCAGTAACCAGATATTAGAAGGCAGAGAAAAGCAGCCTTCAAAAAAAGTTCATTTTTCCTCTGGGTAAGAGGTAAAGTTATAAGCTTCAGAGCTCCTTAAAATAAGATAAGAGTAGTCAATAAATAAAAATGTATGATATTTCGTATCTGTATCTGCTTATTCATTTAGTCCTCATAGGGTGGGATAGGAAAGCACTAAAGACACATGCTAGACCCTCCATCTTTAATTATTTTCTGGAAATAATAAATATGTGTTAATGAATTACAAGGCCATATGAAAGACTACATCACAGAGACTCATCTCCCAATTTTTCCCCCAAAACAGAAGCTAGTTATGGCATCGTTTATGGAGGATTTCTAGGTTTCTGCGTATGTTGGGGGGGTCAAGGGAGAAGGAGGGAATGGAATATTAAAACAAGTGGATTGGACCAGTTTGTTGAGAGAGCCCTTGATAGATAGGCCAAATGAAAGATGTAAGGAAGAGTGACTACAGACAATTCTTTGACTCTGTTAAGTAAGAACCTAGGATATTTAAGATTTCCACAATTATTTATATAGTTCCATAAAATGTAGTTGCAGCTTTTATAGGTATTAATGGAGCTTATTTTTACTTTTTAGCTATAATCAAGGGAAATGGAAATGATTTTTGATGTCAGAGAACATCTACTTAGAGTTGTTTTTTTGTTTGTTTTTTTTTTGCAGGGAAGGGGGTTAGAATCATTAAGAGTAGCCTCCAAACCTGGAATAAGATAATGGAAAGTTATATATATTTGACAAAGGGTAAAAATTACTTTAATCAATATTAAATTCCACTGTTCAACCACAGTTTCAGGGGCTGATGTGGAAATCTGACATATTCTTGACAATTCCTGTATTGGATTCCTTTAGCTCCATGCTATAGGCTCTTCCACTTGAACTAAGCCAAAAGTGGGTGACATAAAATTGTTTATTTTTTGACATATTTGCTGACTACTACTTCCTGAAAATCAGTGAGCTACTATCTTGGTAAAACACTTAATAGGGGTAGCTTCTTCAAAGTCAGCTCTGCCTGGGCTTCAAATCAATGCTGTGCTTCCTGGCAGTAAGGATAAAAAGGAAATCGGAGTAAATTACACAGTTCTCATATTATACAAAAGAAGGCCACAAATTAGCTCTTCTGGGGAGACAAAACTTATCCTAGTAATAAACTCTAAAAAGGACTATTCAGTAAAAAAAAAAAAAAAAGAAAGAAAGAAAGAAAGAAAGAAAACACATTTCCTTGCTGCAAATGTAAAGGATTATAGAAACAGTTCAACTCTTTTTTAAGTTGCGATTCCCAAGAAAAGAAATTACCTTAATGACTCTTCATTTGCCACCTCCAGAAACAAGCAATTTGCGTATTTCTTTTATTATGATGTATTAGAACTTCATTAATAAGGAAGCCTTCCAAGTAGGCTATCATTTTTTGAGAAAGATCACACTGTGCTAAATAATGAGATATGGGAATACATTGAACAGCTTGACTTCTGCTGACTTTTACTTAAGAGTGTGAAGTGTTTTAAATTAGACTATGTTAGTATTGATGAAACGTGCACAAGGGGGAAAAATAATTTAAAGGCTTTGTTCCATTTTGAGAGCTAGATAAATTGTGTAATTTAAAAATAAATCACTGTGACCTGGCAGTAAGGAAACAACAACTCTCAAATGCTGTTGGAGAGAATGGGAATGTGGACAACGAAGGCAATTCAGTAATAGCTATCAAATTTACAATGCGTTTATTCGTTGATCTATTACGCATACAGATTAGAATTTGCCCCTAGATAAACTCGTAAAAGTATACCTAAATAGATGGATAAGAGCATTCGTTGCAGTATTTTTGAAATAACAGAAGACAAACATTACAAAACTAATCTGAATACACAACAATAAGAATGATTAAGTTAAATGTGCATTCATTTAACAGCACACCCCAAGCCATTAAGAAGTCTAGTGTAATTCTATATATATGCTGATATGGAAAGGATTCTGGGATGGATTGGTAGGTTAATATGCTAGATATAGACCTAGATTATACAGTAATCCCCCCCCTTATCTCTAGGGAATATATCCCAGGACCCCCTGTGCAGAAACCACAGACATTACCAAATCCTATCCGTACTATGTTTTTTCTTATACATGCACACCTAAGATAAAGTTTATTTTATGAATTAGGCACAGTAAGAGATTAACAACGATAACTAATAATAAAAAAGAACAGTTATAACTGGACTGTAATAAAAGTTATGTGAATGTGGTCTCTCCCAAAATACTTTATTGTATTGCATTTATCCTTTTTGTGATGATGTGAGATGATAAAATACCAATATGATGATATGAAGTGACGTGAATGACATAGGCACCGTGACATAACATTAGGCTATTGCTGACCTTCTTTCTGATGGTACGTTGGAAGGAGGATCATTTGCTTCTTGGCTAGGGTTGACCACAGGTAACTAAAACTGAGGAAAGTGAAGCTACAGATGAGGGGAACTACTATAATGTCGCCTTTGGATCATTTAAAAAGCAGAAACAAGTATAAGTATAAGTAATGTAGATATACTGATATTTATATCAATTTACATATTGAAGAGCCATAAGCATCTTACCCATTGGGTGCTTCTTTGGACCTCAAAGGTGAATATGTAAAGCATTGGCTTTGGCAGAGAGAGGCTCTGGTTAGGGGTGGATTGCTGGCTGCTTCTGAGTTTTTTGTTTGTTTTGTTTTTCCAATCTGGATAGCTTTCTATACAGTTTGCTTTCTCTAACCATGTACATCCAATACATTTATTTTTTTTAAATACCAGTGAGTATTTTGAAGTAAGTCATTATTGTTGGTCTTCAGTTTTATATACTTCAAAAAACTATTAAATAATATTTTATAAAATAATAAAGCACTATTGTTGACTTTACCAATATCATGAAGCATGACAGACTCTAGCACATGACGGACTGCACTGCCAGGAAATCTACTCAAGTCAGCCATGTAATATTCTCCTCACAAACAGAGGCTGCCCCTGCAGCCATCTTCCCCATATTAAGAGTGCACCTCTAACATGTGGGGAGAATAGATCTGCTCAGTGAGGTCAGTTGGAGACATCATATCTACCTCCCTTCTGAGCAAGAAAATTTGAAATCAATTATTACAGTTGTTTTCCTGTTTTGTTGTAAGACAATAAACTACAAAACAAAGGCTTTTCTAAACATCCATGATTTAATGAATCTAACTTTGATTAAGAATGGAGAAAAAATTGGTTGCATATTTCCCATGGGCCCTGTATTTGAACACAGCAAACACTATTTTGGAAGCAATTCCAAAAAGAAATGATAAAATGACTGTTTTGTGCTCTTTTGAATTTTTTCAGAATTGCGACTTGTGGTGAGCCCCTCTGTGTGTCTGGATCAGAGCATACAGTTAAAGCAGAGTACTCTGAGTGACCTTTTAAAAACAGTGAAGCCACATATGTGGAAACCATGGGACTGGCAACGTGAACAGCTGTAAGCTAATCATTTTGAATTGTTCTATCCAGCATGCATTTTTGGAGACAGCTAACAAGAGAAAACTCCTGAAGATATCTAGGGGGTATTACATGTTTGAATGATTAGGTTCTATTACATAAAATTTCAGCTATCTCTTCTTAATAAAGAACACCATCATTGATTTTCTCCTAGACTAATTCAAACCTCTCCTGCCAAAAAATAAACATTTGGGTAAATAGGACTCTTATCTAGGAAGTTACATTAATGGAAATTGAATTTGAAACCTTGACAATGTGAAACTATAAAATTTTAACTTCCATTTTGTACTCAAGTGACATTGCCCTGGTCTATGAGTATGGCTGAATGATTTTTTTTTCTAGTTAATATATTTTTTTATGGCCCTTATGATCTAAGAAAGCAACTGCAAGGTACCAAGTTATTTAAGTTTCCTCCAGGAAAATGATTTTTCAATGTAGATAGATTATAGTGAAAAATTAAGAGATTTTCATTATCTTATCCAAGAGACAGAATAGTTTACCTCATCTAATTTTATAATTATTAGGTAATATTTCCACAGTTAACAGTATTTATTGAAGAATCATATGCACCTCTGTTTACCTAAGACTTCAAAGGTTGAAATAGCATAGTCTGTTCATTGATTAAACTTAGATATGAAACATAGAAACATCATGCAAAAAGCAAATAGTTAAACATTTTGTATCTTTTATGAGGAAAGTATATTTGTTTCATCACAAAGTATTAGTGTTAATTTTCCTTTGTAGACTGAAGTGTTTACTTCATGCTCTGTGCTTTAAATTAATCCAGAATTATCTGTGGTGATGGTTATTGGGTAGAATCAAACTAGTGGGCAATGTATGTTGGCATATTTTGGTGACCTGTCTACTACTGAGAAATATAATAGTATCTCTTGTCAAGGAGAAGGTAGAGCAAAGGCAATCGAGGGCAGGACTGGAAAATGTCAGGTTTCACTGTTCCCTACACTATAATTTGTATCACTTTTGTAGTGATGGTACATACATGACCAATGTACATCTTTGAAATCTTTAAACCTCATTTTAGGTATTTTCCTACCTTTCTTTCAAAAAAAAATTATTTTAATTAAATCTACCAGAGTGGAGAACTCTTATCAGTTTGATCTCCTCTCTCTCTCTGTACCTGTATATGTACCTGTAGTGATGCTAATGAGCAGTGGGATTGCTGAAGGAAACCCACACATGGAAGGCTGAGGTCCAACAAAGGATAGATGAGTGTACAAAGCTTCGAGGTAATTTACAAATTACATACCCTAAGTTATGGAGCATTAGCTATGCTGTTTTATTCTTTAGGAATCAAACAACAGTCCTTGCTCCACATGAAACAATCTTTAGAGCTGAAGAACTGTCTGTGATTCTTAAAGCATATGTGTTGGTGACATCTTTAAGCCCTTTGCGTGCATTCATTCATTCAACTGGCGCGGTTTGGAATCCACCGAAGAAAAAACGCTTCACTGTCAAGGTAAAATTCCATCGAAGCTGTGATTTCATTCAAAGTATATTAAAGATAAGTAAAGTGAGTTGAACTGCCTTTCTCTGACCTTTATGATTATCAAATCCCATTGAACAAAGATTGCATCATCTTATTGCTGCAAGTGGAGATTTTCATTTAATAGGTGCAGGCTCAAAAATGAACTGGAAGCAGCTTAATTCACTAGGGATCACAAAAGTTACATCTTGTTTTCTCAATTCATCTTTTTAGTTCAATTCTTTGACCCATTACAAAGCTAATTCTCAGCTGTATTCTGTTTTCTTGACTTTCCACTTATTTAAGAAAAATATACTCATTGCAACAAATGAAAATATTACTTTTCCCTTATGTTTTTTTCTTCATTCTTAGGAAGCAAAATACCTATTTGGTCACAGTAGTCAATATGGAATATTTCCTAAGTGAAAAACAAAGCTCTCAAGTGTGCCTAAGATAGTAAGTCATGATATAAAGCATGATGAGAAAGTTTTCTGGGAAGCACTTAATAATAACTCCCCCAAAATTTAGTTATAAAAGGTAACTCAGGTTGCCTCAGTTGAAAATAAGGTCTAGCGACAACATATTGGGTAAATTTTAAGAAGTTTCCAACTTTACAGAAATAATCATTCAGAGGACAGTTAAGAGGAAATAGAAAGAAATTGAAAGAACACTCAAGTGCTTTGGTTTGTATGTTCTTTCAATTTCTTCCTGTTTTGTCTTACCTGTCCTCTGAACAATTATTTCTGTAAAATCAAAAATTCCTTCAAAGAACAAATACTACATGATCCTACTTATATAACAATCTAACTTTGCAAACACGGGGCACCTGGGTGGCTCAGTCGTCTAAGCATCCAACTCTTTATATCAGCTCAGGTCATAATCTCACGGTTTGTGAGACTGAGCCTCGTGTCCAGCTCTGTGCTAACAGAGTGGAGACTGCTTGGGATTCTCTCCCCGCCCCCCCCGCCCCACCCCCCCATCCTTCCTCTGCTTGTGCTCTTTCTTTCTCTCTCTCTCTCAAAAATAAATAAACATTATAAAAAATAGAAGTAAAATTGTCAAACTCACAAAAGCAGAGAGAAAATAGAATGATAGTTACCAGGGGTGGGGGGGAAAGGGGAGATGAGAAAATGTTGGTCAACTGGTACAAAGTTTCAGTTATGCAAGACCAGTATGACCTAGAGTTCTACGTATAGCATAATGCCTGCAGTTAATAAGATTTGCTAAGAGAGTAGATCTTATGTTAAGTGTCCTTATCGCTAAATAATATATAACATATAGGTACGTACACACATACATACATACACAGGGTGGGAGGTAAAATTTGGATGGGATAGATATGTTATGGCTTGATTGTGAGGATGGATTCATGGGTGTAGTTATCTCCAAACTCATCAGATTGAATATGTTAAATAGGTACAGCTTTTTGTATCTCAATCATAATAAAATGTTGTTTTGTTTTTAAAAAGAATGTGCAATGCCTTTCATAGCTTCAAGAGATTCAGAAGTAACTGAACCTGATTTTTTTCAGAATTTATCTTATATAAACTACATTGTAAATTCTGGAAAATCTTCCAATGGTGAAAAATTTTTAAATGGCTCATTTAAATATTGTCAATTAAAAAAAAAGGATCAGCATGATAAAAGGTGCAAATGCTATATTCCTTAGTAAAATAGATGGCTGACATTTTAGGGAAATAGTGTTGATGACTTAAGTCATAAGATAAAGAACAATTATCGTAACTATATCAACATAGGTGTTTTTTAGTTAATTATGAAAAAGTAGCATCAAATTTGGTTTGTCTTTCACGTTATCGCCTACCAGTCTTCACAGTGGCTATTTATTTTTACCTAAGTACCTTTAATTATTTTCAGATTTCTGTTTATATTAGGTTGAATTATATGAAATTGCTAGTACGTGGCCATTCTTTTTTTTTTTTTTTTTTTTTTTTTTAATTTTTTTCAACGTTTATTTATTTTTGGGACAGAGAGAGACGGAGCATGAATGGGGGAGGGGCAGAGAGAGAGGGAGACACAGAATCGGAAACAGGCTCCAGGCTCTGAGCCATCAGCCCAGAGCCTGACGCGGGGCTCGAACTCACGGAGCGCGAGATCGTGACCTGGCTGAAGTCGGACGCTTAACCGACTGCGCCACCCAGGCGCCCCCGTGGCCATTCTTGACTTACAAAAAATTGTCAGTTTCATATGATGCAACCTAATTTTTGGAACTCAGGTACTGAGAGATAAAAGAATCATATCACTAAATTCATGTCACATTCACGCATTCAACAAATGTTTACGGAGCCCAGTCCAAAATCCCTGTTCTTGTAGAATTTGCCATTAGCCATCGGTGCAAGACTCCCACATCTATTTATATAATCCATTTCATCCCTATTCCCCATGCAATTCCTTGGGGCAGCATTACAATGATTTAATGTGTATCTTTTTGTTTAGGTTATTGTAAAAATGCAGTTTTGTTTTGTTATGCATATATGTGCTTTTAACTTACGTAAATTGTATTGTATTAGAGATTTTTTTCTTCTAACTTTTTTATGTGAAGCACTACATATTTTCGGGAAGGAAACACCCACGTTGTTATGTGTCCACCTCCTGTGTTACTTTGCACTGGTTAACTGTATTCCGTGATGTATTGCGTTACACTTCACTTAACCAGCGTTCCAGTGAGAGACACCTTGATTGTTCCAACTCTCGACTAATCCAAATAGTGCCGCAAATGTACAAATTCTTGTATTAGACTCTTAATGAACCTGAATCTATTTGTTCTGGAAAACATATACCTATCATTGGACTTGCTAGGTCGTCAGCTATGGGTTCATTTGATAGAATTCAATAATGCCAGCTTACCCTCCAGAATGCCTGTCCCACTTTCTGTGCCATTATCAGTCTTTCCATGTCCCGACAACCTGCCCAACACTTAACCTTTCCAGCTTGCAACAGGTGAAAAGTAGTATCTTACTCTCGCAAATGGCTCAATTTGTCATCGGTTAACTTTATCCTTGGTATCCTTTGTTGATCAGAAATCTTCAATTGATTCATCAAATTAAACTTTCCCTATAATTTCTGCTTTGGAGATTTAGTTCCAGAAGTTGTTTCTTATCTTTAAGTCACAGGGGTGGGCTTCTTCATTTTCTTCTATTACCTTTATAATTTTTCCAGGACATACAAATATTTTATTCAACCAGAGGTCACCTTTGATCCAGAATTTTTTTCTATATAATCAATTTTCATGGGCTAAAAACTCATCATTTCCCATGACTATAATATCACTTTTATTGTATAAGTTCCTATTTGTATATGGAGCTGCCTCTGAGCTCTCTGTTCTGTTCCAATTGGCCCACTTGTTTTATTATTTTGACAGTGTACATACATCTTAACACCTGGCAGCGAGGTTGCTGCTTCTACTTTTTCTTTTCAAAATCAAATTAACTATGGTGTAGACATTTATTTCCTCATAAATATTTTAGCATTCAAGTATATTTTTAAGATCCTCCAGTAATTTCAATATATAATCACATAAAATTTATAGATTAATTTTTGAATAATAATAATAATGTTATTATTATTATATTTGTAATATTGTCTCTTGAGTCAGATCATTTTGCTTTTCCTTTATTAGAGTTTAAAATATTTTCTCTAGAAAGATCTTGTATGTTCTTATGTTTATTCCTAGATTCCTTAGAATATTTGTTGATATGCTTTTTGACATTGTATTGTGTAGTTGGTTATTGCTAGGATAGAGAAATACTATTTTTGAAGTTGAACTTGTATTTGGTAAACTTGTGTCAATAATTTTATCATCAGTATCATTAGGTTTGAATTTTTAAGGCAGATGACTATTTTATCTGCAAATAAAGTCATGTTAATTTCCTTTTTAAAAAATAATTTTTTTAAGGTTTATTTTTGAGAGGGAGACAGAGTGTGAGAAAGGGAGGGCCAGAGACAGAGGGAGACACAGAATCCGAAGCAGGCTCCAATCTCTGAGCTGTCAGCACAGAGCCGGATGCAGGGCTCAAACTCACAAACCTCAAGATCATGACCTAAACTGAAGTCGGACACGTAACCGACTGAGCCACCCAGCTGCTCCTTAATCTCCTTTTTAATTCTTATATATCTTTTTCTTTCTTTCTTTCCCTTTACTAATTTTGGTCAGAACCTCCAGTACTTTCTTTAAGGGTAGAAATGAGAGTTAAGTGTTCTCAAATTGTTCTTCATCTTAAAAGGAGTGTAGCTGAAGCTTCTCTCTTAAGTAAAATGCTTGCAGTAGGTTTTGGTCTTTAATTTTTATAATTCCTGCCAAAGTAGGGAGGATAATATAAATAACCACAAAGTATCCATCAGTGTGTTACAACGACTGCAATATATGGATAATTTTGTTTCATCTGCACCCTCTCCACTCCCCTTCCCAGACAACAGTTTATTTTGAAACAAATCCCAGACATCACATGATTTCCTTTGTAAACCTTTTTAGAGCGTAATTTTGAGAGAGACGGATTTATAAACTTTACAAAGTTAAATAAGTTCCCTTTTGTTTTTAGTTAGCTAGGAGTCTTCACCATAAAAAGATTTTGAACTTTATAAATGCTTTTTCCTGCATTAATAAAATTATATGATTTTTTCCTCCTCAGGTTTATTTTTGTGGTATATTACATCGCTAGATTTTCTTTTAATAAAACCTCCTTGCATCACTGAGATGAAACCTATGTGATTATTTGGGACTATTTTGCAATAATGTGTTGGATTTGTTTAGTTACGATTTTTATATCTATGTTCATAAATGATATGGACCTATAATTGTATTTTCTTATATTTCTCTTACCTGGTGTTTAGAGTTGAGATTACTGGATAAAATAGGACTAGATAACTTTCACTCTTTTTCAATTTTTTTGGAACAACTCGTGTAAGATAGGAATTAGCTCGCCAAATTGCTTAACAACACCCTCCCCTATTTGTTTCTCTACTTACTGAGTGTTTCC